GTGGTGGAGGCGGGTGTGGCGGCGGGATCGATACGCCGGGCGGCAGAGGGCACTTGATCTGCCCATAAGCGGGCGGAGATGCGGCCGGCGAGGGCCGGAGATGAAGGCGCCGCGCTCATTACAGGCCAACCTGTTGGACGGCCGTCCCGCCCCCGCCCCCGCACTTCCATCACGCGACGGCGCGGGCGGACGCCGGGCCCTCGGCAGCGCCGGAGCGCTGGACGGCGAAGCGGAGGGACAGGTGTTGGAGAGGAAGAGAAAGGGATGGCGACTGGAGGACTACGTAAACCCATAACTTTAATATGTAGCATGTGACCTGCAGCTGCCAAACCGCACCACACGTTAAGCAGTGCCTTCAGTTACGGGTACCCAGTACAAATCAGTGGTTAATTTTGTAGGTTTGGTTCTTTACTTACCTAGAATCACAAAAAACATGTAGTTCCACAGTTTTTTGGATAGCAAATATTTAATGGCGTGTGGCTTCTTCCTTGGAGACTTGGTATCGCACGTCATCTCCGTCATAAGCAATGACGCACTGAGTATGTCAATCTCTGTTGATCCTCGCATTTTAAGCTGTTCACATTCTTTTTACCTTCTAGTGTGTGTACTATTTGATAAAATTATGCCATGTTGCAAAAACGCAACTTTTTTGTGGTAGCTGATACCAAAAAGTATGTTTTTCTTAAAAACGACAGTATGTCTAGCATATGACACTTAACCTTCTTCCCATTGATGGGAATTGTTTGCCAAAATAGACATTATCTGATCAATTTGGCTGGTGTCGAGTGCCCTTGAATTTGAAATTAATTTTCTGATTTTGGAGTCATTTACGCGTCTAAAGCATTTGCATAACATTCATAAAAAATACTTATTTTTTCTTTTAGTCTTGTAAAATACATTCAATTATGCTGCACCGTCTGTCCAAACAGATCAGGCCAAAGTGCTCGTGTGCCGTTTCGCATCAGATAGTGTTATTCAACGACGCGCGTTACTTAACGCGCGCGTCAACGCAACGCTCGTGTGCAGGGGCCCTAAATGGTTACATTGTGTTTTATTTTGAAGCCATCACATGTATGGCCGACCAGTGAATAAAAATAAATTTTTAAAAATACTGATGGTTTATTTTAACTGTATAAAAATATCTCTAATTATTGCATAAGAATAACAATAATAATAATAATAATAATAATAATAATAATAATAATAATAATAATAATAATAATAATAACAATAGTTAGACATTTAATCATACTTATAATAATTGACACTTGAATTATTAATATTATTTTAAACAAAAATGAATAATGAAAGGCATTACTAACAACTTAAATTCTTTACTTTTTATTGTAATAATAACTCATTACTAAGGTATCATTACGTTATTTCTTAATTTATAGTAAAATAACATAAATACCTGGAACACTGCATATCATTTCAAATTATCTACATGGAATATAATACTATCCTTATATTTACATGTCATTTTAGCATTAATAAGTAAGTCAGTGGTTTCAAAATACAGCATTTTAATTCATGGATATCAACTTTACCTTATCACAATGTTACTAAAATTACTTAATTTGTTATAGTAACTGTAAGGAAGAGATGGAGTTTAAATTGGCATCAAAAATCTCACTGTGTCAACGTGAAAGACTGTTTTTCCTCTACCACGACGCACATTACAAATCTCCTTTGACAATCCACTAATTTGTGATTCACATAGTAAGTTTTCACATCAATATCGTATTTAGACTTATTTATGTACACAAAATATCTCATAGTACATTACTGGTTTATAAACAAAATAGGACGTAAATAATATGTTAGCATGGTATCTTTAGAAATGTTTTTATCATTCTATTTTAATATAAATAAATAAAATGACTAATTGTCGTGATGCATTCTATATTTATCCATCTGTCATAAAAATTAAGTACAGCTTCTGTTAAACAATTTGCACACGAAACAAATTATGAATGCAATGCAAATGGTAATTTAGAAATAATTCCTCAATATATTTATTGAACAAAATTGCATTTTCAAAATTGAAAATCCATTTTGAATCTTCCATTTTCTTGTGGCTGAATGTACAAATAAATTACTAAGCAAAATGAAAACAGAGATAATGATTTTTAAACTTACAGTCCTTCACGTGATCAAGTAAGATGTAAGAAGAGTATGTGAACTTTAAAAAACGCACTTTTAGCAACAAAATATGTTTTTCTTAAATTTGAAAAACACATTATAATGATCTAGATTATATTCACGTGCATATATTTTAGTTCTTATATTATTTCTAGAAGTGATCTAGCTATTTTTCACTTCTAATATCACTTTGGTGGACAATATAAATACGTGGTTAATATGCATTATAGTACAAATTATTTACAGAATTTTCGAATAAAATATGGAATTTTAGTTTTGTGATGCAACTAATTCTCATTCAATGAATGGAACTGAGATGACACGTCTACATTTTCTTTCAACTCGCGTAAACATAAAGGAAAATTTAAAAAAGAATTAATATGGAAATAACGTTTGATTGTGAACCTAGATATGTCACGTGTTTGAAAAACTTTAATAAAATATTATTGGTTCAGCTTAAATTTTAAGAGATAAGTATTTTGAATGCGCGTCTTCGTAAGTTCCATTCACTTTATGCCATTGACCATCTTTATGTCCTGTACATGTTTCAAAACATTGAGCAGTTCTTTTCAATCAAATAGTGTCCTCGTAATGTGAGCACTGTAATGGTGTAATTCTCTCCTTACGGGAAAATTATTACACTACAGATACAAATATCCGAAAGATATTTGATACAAATCTCTTACTGCAGTATCTGAGATCTTCTGGAAGCGATTTGAATGTCCAAATCTTTAAGAATTACTTCGCTGCTACCGCGACACCCCACCTGCTGTGCGAGAAGTGTTGCTGCAGCTGTTTTCTGGAGTGTCCACGTCCCCCTGCAGAAGTTGGTAACACTGGGTGATGTTCCTCCAGCACTTCTCCTGAAGTTCTTCTACGTACAATCTTTTCCGACACACCGCTTCTCTTCTCAAGGCTCTTTCTCTACAACAAATACACTTACATTTCAAAAATATTCCTATTACTTTTTAACAAATTTATCTCGTTCTTATTCTTATAACTAAAGAACGATTCTTCTTTAAAGGCTCCCTGTACCAAGTATTATTACAAAGGCTTAATATGGCAGGCTACTTTGGGTAAAAATGAAAGAAAAATAACTACTTTATTAAATAAAACAATAAATTTAATGAATTGAACATTTGTGATATGGAGTTGCAAAATACATTTTAACGGCTTTTGTAGATACACCTAAATAATTTCACTCCAACAGCAGACACTTGCTTGGTGTTGTACACACGTGGTTTTTAAGTAGCATCCACGGAAGTACCTCGACCCACGACCTTTGTTATGACCTCCATCGTCCCATTATGATTGCTAAATGTTCAGAGCAAAACCTAAATACTACAAGAGAAGGAGTTTGTATTCCTTATTTACAACATTATCCAATACAGGACTACAAATATCACTGATGAAACTACAACGGAATAGTCTACTGGGCGACGCGGGTTAAAATGGCGTATACCGGAAATTGGTACGAGCACAACGATACGCAAATTTCACTACTTAGTTTCGCAATGAAAGTACAGAGTTTCAGAAACGGCGAGTGGAGGGAAGGGGGTAGGGGAAGCTTTCCGCACTATTTCCTTCGTCTGACAGATGACGCTTTTGCAATCTAGGGTTAATCAGTTTCATTGTTTTGTACACGTTGTTACCATAGGCAATTTCATTTTTTACACGCACGTTTACATTGGTATTTACAATTAAAATAAGAAAATTTAGTCTCTTTCAAACAATTTTAATTCAGGATTGTTTAATTGAATCTCAATGTCATATCGTTATGCAAATTATATGGAATAAGTATTAACAATCAATCACTAAAAGTACGTTCCAAATTCCAGTGAAATTATTAGAGAAGATGAGTAAATGAATAATGATAGAAAGTAATTCATGAATCTTCGTATTAAGCATTTATATTTACAAAGCTTATGCTTCTCCATTTTATGCATTATGTTCTATCGAGAAGTTGAAACGGTACTAAGCAAGAAATAACTTACTAATTTAGGGCATGAGACGATAGATAAAGTTTATGAGTGAAGTAGACATTTGAGAATAGTTATTTCGTCGGGGTCAACGGAAAAGAGACAAAATTCCAAACTTTTCTAACAAAGTTCTAAGGCTTCTAACAAAATAGTTCGGTTCTAGAGTGCCTACGTAAGCCCGATCAGAATGGGGACACCATCAGAGAATAATGGGAATTTTTAATTTTTAAGAGTAGTGCCTAAGAGATGGACAGCTTTTGGTACTGTAAACTGGCAGTAATTTTATTTATATCAAATTTTGTTTTCACTTTTATTCCATTATTTAACTTTCAGTGAAGTTTTTGAATTTGTACTACTTTTTTATAAGATTCCATATTTTACGCCCTTATTTGTAAGTGAACAAAAACAGCATGCATGGCATTTCCTGCCAACTACAGGTAAAAAGTACAATGTAATTGGTAATACGTAATCGTAATCCCAAAAATTAAAAAAAGTAAGACATTAAGATAAATGTGTAGTATGCAAATTTAAGTCGAATATAGTTATGTTCTAATATTCTCATATATTATTTAAACACCTATGGTATCTACGATAGGTTGTATACGAAAATCATTGAATTTTCAGTTAATTTATTACACTTCATTAGTTATTCACTATCAATATTCAAAGAACTTACCTTTCAGTTGGCAATTGTTTCACAAATTCGTTCAACATCTTATCAATGATTTCTTCGGCAGTTTTTTGAATGCGTAATGTTTCTTCTAAAAGTCTTCTTACCTACAATATGAGCATAAAAAATATTTTAAACGTATAAAACATTGAAATTTTTAACATAAATATCTTTGTTTTCTTACCTCAGTCTGAACGTTGGACATATTGCGTGCTCAAAATTTTTAATTTTACTTTCTTGTCCGGAACCACTGTATCTGCAATAACAAATTTCCGTTAGTGACATCAAATATCATAGTTATAAAGATTTATATCAGGTAGTTTTACGATTGCAAACATAAATTATTATATCAATGCAGTTTACTTTTAACGGTTGGTTCTTTACACCGAAAAATCGATTTACAGCAAAATGCTCGTCCGCGTGCTACCCGTCTGTCTGTCTGCGTCTGTCTGTCCGTCCGACTCACTGTCGCACAGTGGTTGATTTCAAGAATCCAGAGGTATTTAAATCAAAAATAAATATGCTCGACACGAATGAAAACCTACATGGGCGGGTTCCTAATAGTCCTGCCAGGACTGTACCAGTCCCCATAAGTGCAACATTCATTTTTCAGAAGAATGGGGGGTATGTTCAGCGAGCTCTTCCGAGCCGCACGCGCAGCCGTGCGTAAGTCCTGCTTTGACGCGCTTGGTGTTATTGCCCACTGCCACTGAATTGTTAAGGATAACTTTATTATGTGATATGGACGAGAATCTGAAAGGTATGTCATTTAAAATGCAGTAACGTTTAATTGAAAATTTTATATTTTTGGTTGTATTTTATATGAGAAAGTATCACCATATATTCGATACAGGTTTCTTAGTAATCGGAAATTTAAACTGAGTTATCTTGAGTTGCCAGCAATTGCCAAGAATGGTCTTTGCACGATTGTATTATCTAAACCTTCTGAAACAAAATGGTGAAAACCATTTTTGCCCGAATTTGCCCCTTTCCGAAAATATCGATATTTTCCACTCGACGGGACTATTCGAGCTCTTGCGTGAGGGTGAACTCTCTTATGCCACAGATTTACGGAATAGAAAAATGCTAATGCCGTATGTTTCTCGTAATGTTCTTGAAGTATTCCAGAGGCCGTATTAACTGAGAAGACACGGAGATTCACCTGCCCAATTGCTGACAAATGGAAGGCATGTACAGAATGGTAGACAGATTCGCGGCAAGGACCCCAGCATGATTGGGCGACGAAGTGTGGTGTGTCTAGGAAGAAGCGCAGAAAACGACGAAAGGTAGTCACGTAAAAGAATTATCTTCATGTTTGAAGAGAACAACAAGTTAAAAAGTACAGCGAGATTTTACAGTCCCATTAAATTCGAATTTGTGAAGGTGACAACACATAGCACAAATGCAGAAGTAGCTCGTTTATAAGAAAACATTAAGAAGTTTCAAGCGACAAAATTGAATAATGGGGGTGAAGATATCTCTGTATATCACAAATTATTGAAATATATGAGGGGCTATATCTAGCTATGTAGCTAGTGTCGAAAATGCTGCCGCCGTTGGGTTGTGAACCCTAGGACCGCCCCATCAGAGGCACTGCTGCGACATCAATTGACGTCACCTAACTCTGTGCCTTCCGATCGTCCGTCCGTCAACAACAACAACTCCGATAGACCCGGCTGATGTTACACCTTGAATTTGGTGCGGATAATTTGATTTTGGGACATATTTTTCACCAATCCTCAAGTACGTTCAGTACTACTTGTATAACTTGAACGACTAGTGCAACTAATAGGAACAGAACGACTACCCACCAATACTACAACCACAACTACAACCACTTCCACTACTACCACCATTTCCATCGCAATCACCACTAATATTACCACCACTACTATCATCCCCTCTTCACCACTATTATCCGTACCACTCACTACTACCTACTACCACTCACTGCTACTACCAGCACTACAAATACCATCACTAGTATTACCACATATACTACCTCTACCACCCCTACCACTACAATATGCAATATGGATTTTTCCTTAATGAAATCTGTTCTTCAAAATTGGATATTCAAATGATGTGTATGTTTATTGAAGATACGATTAACTTTTGCAAAATTTGGATTAAATAATTGTAATTTTAAAAACAAGATTTTCTAAATCTCTTTTGTTTTATTGTGCTCGGAGAGACCAATCGAAGACTAAAAATAAAAATAATACTACTTTCGCTTTCGTTGAAGTTCTGAATTTTCGACAATTGCAAATATTACAAATAATACGACAAAGTATGTGCTGCTTTAGCAACACTAGTTTTATTCTAACAGTGTGCGAAACATCGCGAAGCGAATACGAAAATGTTTCGCAATCCACAAGGTAAAAATATAGCATACTCTTCACGTGCGCATTGTGCTCCGGGCACTTGTTTCATTAGTTGCGTAGGCAGAAAATTCACCGTCTATGCCTTGTTTTCTTTATAATTTCAACAATAAAACAATAAATTCTGCAAGTTAATTAACAGAACAGCCCGTCGCGTCCTAAAACGCAACGCTACGGCAGTTCCATTCATACCGCAGAAGAACTTACTCTTCTATACTCTCTGGTTGTATTGCTATACGGCGCAGGCAAAATCCTTGTTGCCTCCCCCAAAAAATTATTGTTGTCCTCTATTGATCTTCACTAGTGAAAATCATTGCTCTGGACTAAATGATAAGAAATAAAGATTAATAAACTTATTCTGATTTTAAGTCAATTCAATTTAATAATTTTCTTATTTAAAATATGCATGAAGAATAATACATATGTTTTATTATTTACTTCCTAGGGTACTAAACATGTAATTCATGTAATGAGTTTAAAATTTGTCTCCATAATCACGTATTAAAAGAAAATATGAAAAGCATCAAAGATATGGAAGAACGTCTTAAATCGTAATGTATATTGTTATATTTACCTTAGGGATACACTTTCTTTAAATCTTATGGTTGCAACATGTTTCCAGAGAAATTACGGAAATAAATGTACTCCATGTCATATTGCCTGCCGATGGAGTGAAAATCGTAAAATCACGTGTGAAAACTTAATCTCATTTTTCTCGAAACTGTGTTTCCGAGGTTAAGCCGTTCTTCCAACCAACTCCCTCAAACTTCCCAACTTCTTTGAAAAATAAAATCCTGTGAGGTATCCATTTTAATGGTCCGAAAGAAAAAAACATTTCTTTGAATGATTCGAGGTACCTGCATTTCAATAGTCTATGGCATTATAATAGATAATCTATTTTAATCTTATGAGAATGAAAACGAAACGCAATTTCAAACTCGGTTGTTCAAATAATGGCGGGGCCGATTCAACGCTTCCGAATATCGATCCGCAAACAGTACAGATGTCGCCTCCTAGATAGCGCGCGAGTGCTATTTTCTGCACGCAGCTGCGCTGATTCGGGGGGTAGGAGATTGCTCAACTTGGATCGCACGCGGTGATTCAAGGACGTTCACCAAAGTAGGGCCATTTCAGCTTAAGGAACTCTCACTTTCACTTACTCACCAATCCGTTTAATTAATTAGAATACGAATATTATTAAAGGCAGCGCGACATACCTTTCTTCTAACTCGTTTCTCCAATGGGTCTGGTCCCATCGGATCGAAAGAGATTTATTGTACTCGCAAGAGCAAAACTGACTAATTAAGACCGTATGTGAGTGAAATAATATAGCGTGTATAATTTCCGTTAGACACATGGTACTTCAGAGTTGATCGAGAAAATCGTAAATAGAAGAATCGCGAAAATGCTAAGTGAAGTAAATAATTTACGGGAGAAAACACGCTTAATTTCTTAATTTGTACTGTTTTTTTGGTTTGAGTTTCTACGCACTCTCGAGTTTCTTGGTAACTATTCTTCAAATGTTTTTCTTATCATTTCCACTGGTCGCCAAATTGAGTAAAGCACATACTATTTGCATATAGTAGGCCTACGAGCATTTCCCATTTTTGCTTCTATGTGCTACGAGAATATTTGTAAAGATGGCCTCTCAGACAGCCATTCTTAGAGCAAATTTTCCCTCGTTAGTCTCCCCAGAGGCGTTCTTCTCTCCGTTCATCTGTCTGTGGTCAACGATGGTCAAACCGTTCTGTCGGTTTTCCTGAAAATTGATATTCCCTCATCGATCTGGAGGAACTCGAGGCCCTGCAAGTTTGAATCGGGTATGTCGACTTTTAGCGGATCTTTAAATGAAGACTCAACAACATTTTCGAAATTTTCTCGAAAATGGAATCAATTTTGTAAGAAATATTGTGCTTGGAGAGGGAACTCTTAAGAGAACGGCGCAGATCACATTTCCGTTGCAGTTCTGATTTTCCGAGAATTGACAAAATTTGACATTTTTTCGGAGAGTTTCTACAACTATAATATTGACGATAGAGATTTTTCTTAATAAAACATTGTTGAAAGACAGATCTAGAAATATGGTGAAGTTCAGTTCTCAGAGAATGTGAGGAACTTTTGCGTGAAATATAAACCATTTTAAACAATTATTTTCTCAAAAACGACTCCATTTTTTTCTTGTACATTAGAGAGGTTAAAAATGGTTCTGGTCCCATTTTCGTAACAGGTGCACATTACAAAATCAAACACTCTATATTTTCAAAAATTGCAACAACAAAAAAATAACACTGCAAAAGTACAATTCTGATGGTAGAGGTTTTGTGTCTTAAATTAAATCAGTTCTGAAAACGAGATCGTTAAGTAAGATCTTATACTTTTTTTTAACTAATAGTTTTCATGTAATTTCTGATTGAAGTTACGGCAATTTATAAAAAATCTCAAAAACGGCCCCAATTTCTTTCTTTATTTTTTCTACGATAGAGTAAAGAGTGCTTAAAAATGGTGCAAAGGGTTCCTAGACGTCACACAACCAGGAAATCGGAAAGTCTGGATTTCCTTTAACCTCCGTGACTTCAGAAACCCTTGTTAAGGAATTCGCCTTGCGACGCCTGTAATTGCTAATGTTCAAATATTGCGAGATAATATGATCTGTCTTAGCACAACTAGTTTAACCGAAGTTGTGCTTCACTGCTTAGAGCAGTAGCAGTCGTAGTGCCACATGAGTACGCAAAATCTTTCGGACGCGTTTTCAATTTTGTGTCTTAATTATGACAGTACTCATATTGTAGAAATCCACAGTGACACCAAACCTGGTCGGGCTTAGCATGAGACGATACTAAAAATGGCGGAAAATATCATAAGTTCGCCTCAGAAA